ATGCAACAATTGTAGACCTTGAGAATTTGCACTGGAATTGTGTGGCAAGTTTTTCTTTACCATTTTTTTTTTTGGACAGTGTAAAGAGTAAAATTCATCTACTTTTCGTAAATAAATTTGTTTTTTATGTGAAAATTTGAGGCATTTTGTTCAACTGAAATGCAACTAAAAATCAGACCCATGCCTTTCAACTGTGACTTCGTTTTATTAGTTCCTTTGTAACCTTGATTACAAAAGGATAACAATATCTCAACCAAAGAGCGGCAATTCCAGTAAAACAACTTTCATATCCGCAGCAGGTTTAAAAATTTTATTTATGTAATTTTACGTAAGTAACGTTGTAGCCCTGATTTTGAGCAACAAACCATCCATAATGTACGAATATTACAAATGGGCTTAGTCTTGTGCCAAAAAAAGATACAGAAAAATTTAATGAAATATTTTTTTATCAATATATTGCATATTGTATCCGGGACGATGATTGATGACAAACACTAAAATATTACCACAAAAATTATTCGATTTTTTTCCTTCAACATTTTTTTTTTTCAATATCAAAGAAGTGAGAATTAATTAAGTTTAAGTTCAATTTAAATTTATTTTATAGGTATATATTTATTATTATTAAAATTTACAGTTTATTAAATGGCAATAATGTATTTTAATTTCATTTATATTAAAAATGAAATTTAAATAATAATAATAAAAAATATTACGAAAAAAAAAATCCATGGCTGACGATAAGTGTTAGATTAAGAAAGTTTTCTTCACAACTCTCTCGAAGAAAGAAAACTTGACTGACCATAAGTGTCAGCGTAAGAGAGTTTTTCTTGTTTAGTCCGTTACCTCTCTTGAACAAAGAAAACTTCCCTGACCATAAGTGTCAGGATAAGTGTAAGGATATTTATTTACTTCGAATATGAAAAAGTACGGCAATATTACAAATTCCTAGTAAAACCTGTACTGTGATCGTAGTACAACTTTTAGTCTTACAACGTATCCTAATAGAACAAAATACTTTCAAAACCAACTTCACAGCTGTAACTTAAGTCTCAATACTGATTTAAGTCATGATTGTTATATTCATTATGAGTTATGATGTTGTCATTATTTTTTTATTCGTACATAATCCAGTTTTAAGTTACGATTGTCAAATCAGTCCTCAGTTTTTCGATTGCATGCTAGAAGGTAAGCAGTGATATATCTTTTAAAAATATTATAAACATATCTTATAAAAAGTTTAAGTAAAATAACTGAAATTATTTTTATTCTTATATTAGATATTTTAAAAAAATATGACTTTATAAAAATACATATTAAAGTAATTAAAAACATATATTATAAATTATATGTATATATAGAGAGATTATTTACTATTGCTTAAAAGAAAAAATTAAGCTTATGTATATATATATATATAATAATTAAAATAAAGCTTAAATATACATATAGAATTTCATAATTATTAAAATAAAAAATAATCAAGAGATTTAATATATTTATATTTATATTTTTTTATTTTTTATTTCGTCAGCAAAAATTCAATTAATTAAAATAATATAAAAAATAAAATTTTTGTTGTTGTATTTCACTACTGTTCGAAAAAACCTCTTTATGTTTTTTCCATATAAATAAGTTTTTCAAAAATTCATTAAAAAAATAGACGAAAATAACAAAATTATACATTTACTGACTTTGATTTTAAAATAAAAGCAAGGTCATCCATCTAACATTTTTTAATTTAAATATTTAAATGAAAATTGCATTCAAATGAAATAATAATTGCATTAATTACTCCATATCTGGTTATTAATTTACTAATTGTTAATAACGTCAAGTTTGTAGAGTGTATGTTACTACTAATAATTATTAATTTTCAATAGATACGCTCTTTTCTTAAAGGCAACGACTTCAACTTAATTTTTTAAAGTCCTTGAAAACACCTTCTAGTAAATCATTACTTAATTTGAAATCTTTTATTCAAATATGCATTCAATAACCATTAAAGTTATTTAAAATTTATTAACTGCCTACATCAACTTCCATATAAGCTCTATTAGCTTTTACCACCTTTCAACTTAAAAAAATTTAAATTACAAATATAAGTTTTATAGAAAGATAAATAAAAAGTTTAGTAATTTATGTACATAATTCTAAAAATATATTGTTGTATATTATTTTATAAAATTAGTATTAGAAAATTCAAAGGTTTTTCAGTTTTTTCGATTGCATGCTAGAAGAATGTTCTCGTTGAGAATTTTTCATTCACAACGCACACATAAGCTTTCCATCCAGTCTTCTTATTTTGACCTATATTAAAACCAGAAACTAACAAAAAATGTGAATTTAAATCTCATCCCAGAAGGTTTTATGACGATATTCTATCACTTAGGACAGTTCCATTGAAAGTGTAGTCTCGATTAAGATAAGGAATCAGCTACTCTATTAGTAGCTTAATCTCAATGAAAAGTATCCTTCCTTTAAAGTTGAACATACGAATTATTTAACCTGCCGGTTTGTTGGAGTACCACTATCCGTGATTTTTGATTTGGAACTTACATGTTTTATAATAACATGTTTTATAATAAGGTCCAGCTTTATAGTATTAAATGTTATCGGTTTCAGCTTGATTATGCAGCATATAAGTAGCTGAAACTTTTGGTTTTTATTAATAATTAGGGACTAATTAATTTCATAAAAAATATCTGGTTCACAGAAATATTAATTTAACTATGACTAAGCACCCAATAAGTAACTCTAACTTTTGGTTTTTATTTAAATCATAATCAGGGAGTAACTACTTTAATAAAAAGTATCAGGTTCACACAAATATATGGCTGACCTATTTTATATAGAATTATTGCCATAAATTTTACCATAGCTAAACTCTCCATAAGTAGCCGTAAGTTTTGGCTTTTACTTAGTTAATAATAAGGGACTTTAGACTAACACAAAATCATTGCTATCAAATTTACTATGAATAGTCACAGCAATTTAGTTCCTCATCAGGGAGTACTTATTTTATAATATTTATCTGGTATACATAAATGTACGAATGAAGCATTCGATATTGATGGCCATCGTTTCCCCTTAATTTTCTACGCCACTACGCCATTGTATTATATAATATTATATTTGCAAAAAGAAAAATCCTGTTTATTTTACCTTTATATTGCTTAAGGTAACTTGTAAGGTGACTTGTTAATTTTCTCTTTTCCTCACAAGTTTATCTTTTACTTCAAAGATAAATCTATACAATGGCTGAAGTAATTATTTATGCATATAAACTTATGCTAATTGAAGAAAATATTATAAAATATTTAAATTTAAATGAATTTGCACATATTTTTCTTTTGTCACTTGGCACATTCTCGATACCGTCGTCAGTTTCCGGCCAAGATTGTGTGCATATTTTCATGACATATGCAAATCTGCTTGAAAAATACAAATTACAACACTTGACATTTTGTAACGCCCCCGAGGTGGTGACTACAAGTCACTGAGGCAATGATTAACATTTGCCATTTGCATTTGAAGACATGCAACTTTAGCTCGACTTCCAATACAGGCTGAAAGCCTCGCAACAACAGCTGTCGTCGACTGGTGCCGTGTGGCTTGTTGTTGTGATCTTAATCTCGATCAGCTCACATAATAAAATCAAACAAGTCTTCGGAGGATAGAATGCACGCTTGATGGTGGCCTTAGATTAGTATAATCGAATAAAATATAAAATTCATAAATAAAAAGTGACAAATTGAAATTTCATCAATAAATTAACATTAACATTCAAACACGTTACTCGTTCATTCCGACTTCTTCGACTTAGTCAATATATTGCATATTTACTTAGCAACAACAACAACAACAACTACAATAAAAACAGTTCTTAAATAACTGTTATGCTAATTTGTACACTTTCGTAAATGTCAAAGTAATAAAATATCTTTTCTACAGCAGATATATCAACTATATCTTCACACTGTCATAAATTGTAGACTAAGTAATTCACAATTTTTATGGAGTTTTTCGAAAAAATCCGAAACAAGTTTAAGAATTTCAGCAGAACTGCAAACAAGTTGGGAAGAATTGTTTGCTGATGTGTATGAGCTGATATGTATGTGCATAAATTTGTTTCAGCCAAAGTTGGTCAAAATTAAAATTCAAAAATTTCGTATTATTAAAAATGTTTATAATTAAGTTCAGATAAATAAATAAGATTTTAAACTATGTTAGCAAGCAAGCAGTTCGTGACTTTGCCAAATGACAACATTTTTTTCTTTGTCTTAATTGTTGACAGCAAAGTTGCTCGCTCGGTACAAACTCGTACCAGGTTCTGCCATGAAATGTGGTCCACATTACATATACGAAAAAGTGCATTAAAGTGTGCCTCGAGGTGCGTGCAGTTTTCGCATGTACGAATGTTTAAGCAGGAAGTAATTTTCAGAGCTTTTATAACGCAGAAACCTACTTTTATTTATTTTTACGCTTTGAAAACAGCAGCAAAATAGTAATTAACGTACATAAATTTTAAAATAGTAAACCCAAAATATCTTCCGGTTTTTGTTTAGTAAATAATCCATTTTTTTTTTGTTTAATTATATACGAAACCAGGCAGAATTTAAGAAAAACACTCATTAACTTAAGCATAATATGTGATTATAACCATCATAAGACTTATTTACTTATAAATACTTAGATATACTCTGTAATTTATTACCAGTTAAACGTCTAAATATATATATATATACAATATATATATATATAAATATCACTTATAATTAAAATCTTTATAGTTAAGTTTACATATCATTTTTTATATATTATTTCGCATATAAGCAATTTAATTTTATTTTAATAATTAATTAAAATCTGATAATCTAACTAAGCAATTTTATAAATACTATAACTTTATTAATTAATTTAAGCAGAATAGATTTCAAAAATCACATTGTACCACTGCCTTTTCCTGTATTAATTTTCCATTTCTTAATTTTTTACAGTCGCCGCTACAGATCGTTTTAAACGTCAAGCCACAGAAGAACCAAAACGGGAAGAATCCTTCGAAAAGGAGCTTTGCAAAGATAAAGATGCTGGTGAATGGTTCCGTTTGGTAGCTGGTGAAGGTGACAATTGCCGTGATGTTATTCAATGTACATCATCTGTAAGTACTTTTCTTCTCAGTTTTTTAAGAAACACATTACGGTACATACTTAGTTTTTTACCATAACTTTAACACCATCTGAACTTGTATTAAGTGAGCAATTAGATCATCCAGTTTAAAATCGAATTTAATGTTAGGGCTTCTTCTATATAAATTTGATAAACAATAGACGCAGTTTTATAGACAATTAATATTTGAATTCGTATAACTATGATCGGTTTTTGTTAGATGTTCAGTTATGTACTCATAAAATCCCAAAATGCTCACAGATGCATTAATTGACCTTCTTTTCATCCAAATATTAAATAATTTTGACAATACATTAATAATTGTCCAAATACATTAATGATTGTAAACATTTCTTAACATTGGAACGCAATTGCAGTGATGTTTGAATAATATTTGAATTACTTTGGTAGTGAAGGAGAGATCATTTGAATGATCATTCTTTTAAACGAATACCTACTTTTTAAAAAATCTTGTTTACTCTGTACCTTTTCTTATAGATTGTCCCTACATCCAACTAATCAATTTATTACACAAGTATTTAAAACCCATATATTCGTAGAGAAAAGTTCTGTGTTATCACAGAACAACATACAACTAATTAATATCAATATTGATAATGCAAAATACATCAAAATCATTATTATTAAATCAAACACTCAACTTTTTCATATTACTAAGTAGTCTTACTTTGTTGTTGATATCCCATTCACACAAACAGTTATTAATTATTAGCTAACAAAATTTTATTTTTCAATAATTAACTTGTGGCAATTAGTTTATTATTCACTATCCATTTAAAGAATTTAGAATATAATCGAAGTCTTATACAGCACAAGATAACAACGTTTTTATTGCAAATTTATTGTTTTTTTTTTTTGTATATTAGTCTTGTGCTTTTAGTGCTGGTAGGCGTTATATCCATAGAAAGACTTTCTATCAAATATAAAATACAAAAAAAAACATTTATTTATATAACTGCAATGAGATGAAGGAAGACTCGTTTGTAAGACATCATCTTTTGTCACAAAATCAGACATGATTTTAGCTTCATCTTATAGTCTTGACCAACTGATTAAGAATTCAGTATAAGTAGGTTCTAAATTTTATTATTAATGAAATGTGGTTGGTTGGTTGCAGTGGCAAGCCATTGTATAACTTCCATGTACCTCAATTAACACATTTCTCGCAAGAGTCCATAGTATACAAGAGTGGAAACTAAATCCATCCCATCGAATTTATATAATTTAATAGGTCCCTTGTCTTCACCGATAAACAGTCTGATAGACTATAAAAGAAGTATCTTCCTAAAAACATATTTCTTCTGGATGCCAACGCTGGGCATAGCGAAATATAATATATAATATATGTATCATACTGCATGTATACTTGATATTTAATAAGCTTGAAATTAACTTGTCTATGCAATTTCTATATGTCTATATTTTTAATTAAACGTATTTTATCTTGAATAAAACTTTTTATTGAACTAAAAAAAATTTATTTTAAGTGATTCACAATATATCCGATCGTTTATTTTTTTCATTGTTATAGTACTTTCAAAATAATGTCAGTCATATTGAAATCTGATAACTATATATAGCTTCCTGAATTATTAATTTTATTTAAATTTTAATTAAAAGTTTGCCAACTTTTCATCTGCCTATTTTATTAAATGGGATTTAAATTTTAATTCAAATGCGTTTTATAGATAGATGTTTAAAAGAAAAGATCGCATTTTTAGAACAGGAAGATATTGCAAAAGAAAATCATTTTTCTCCTAGAGAATTCATAAAGGTTATGTATAAAGTATATAAATTAATTAAATTGCTTTGATATGTTTTTTTGTTTTGAATTTTTAAATTTCAATCCCAAGTAATTCAAAATAATTTATTTTTTATTGAAATATTTTAGGGTCTTCAAGCTATTCGTTGCCCAGCTGGTTTATATTTCGATATTGAGAAGCAAACCTGTGATTGGAAAGAATCAGTAAAGAACTGTAAATCAAAGAACAAAGAACGTCGCGTTAAGCCTCTCCTACATACCGATGAGCCACTCTGTCAAGATGGTTTCTTAGCTTGCGGTGATGGTAACTGCATTGAACGTGGACTTTTCTGTAACGGCGAAAAGGATTGTTCTGATGGTTCAGACGAAAATACTTGTGGTAAGTTTCTTTGCCAAATTTTTTTTTAATGTTATTTATAAATTCAGTAACTAAAAATAGCATTAACATAACTAAAAATAAATAATGGAATTTATAAAAAATAAAATATAGTAAATAAAAAACAAAAAGCACCTGTATTTACTTTGAACGAAACTAGCACACCAAATACGAATAATGTCATTTGTTACTGAAAATGCCACTGCAGTTAACATGGATGTGTCACACAAGTAAACACATTTATTTATGTCAAATATATACATAAAGACATGTAATGTAAAAGTATATATATTTTTATGGATATATAAATATATGTCTTCAAAAGTTTTGCTTTTGGATATTGTACGTCATGCACTCAATACGTAAGAAAAACCGGAATTCAATTTCCCAACGTAACTCGAGTCACATTGCCAACCTATTGATTACAAGCACTTAAGTGGCCCAAAATGTAAGCATACATACTCGTGTAGTATATATAAATAAATGGTAAATGTGAAGACATACATAGATATATATGCAATACAGATAAACTTAAAATAGACTGTTGTAAAAGATTCGATGTATCGTAAAGGAGACCCAAATAAAAGACTCGAAACCATCATTGGACGCGCATAAATATATTTGCTTTACGAGAGCTTAATACATGGCATGTGGCTGATGGAAAAGTTGTTTTGCATATCGATACTGACATTGTTGTTGTGGAGCCATAATAACATATTACCTTAATGCCACGAAAAGAGGGAACCAAATCTGCTTGTGGATATGTATTTTCGTACAATACCAGTTTGAAGATTGCAACAAATATTTAAGCTCTTTTTGCCGCTGACGTCGTCTGTCTGCATATTTCGTTATAACCTGCAAAGTAACTCATACTTCTTTCCAAAATTTGCACAAATCTAAACAAAATAAAAACAAAATTTGAAAATTTGAAAAAAACCGCAAAAAAGATACATTTGCAACAATAAATCATTAGCAGAAGTGAAATTTCATTGCAAATTTGCATGATTATAGATATTATTTGGTTACTAAATTGCGATATTTGCACAGAGACTTGCAGAAATCTATTAGGCAAATTTTAAATACCGCATGCAGTAGAGAAGGAAAATACTGCAGTTGCTTTAAAATGCACAGAAAACGAGTCATACAAGAATTTTACTTGAGTATTTCACAGATTGTTTATTTAAACAGATACTTCGACTTAATTTGATTTATCTGTAAAGACGTGCATTGGACTGCTCAATGCAATACATTGTACTTACGAAATCACTTTCAGACAGAATCTTAGCTGAGCATGCTTGATTTATCTAATCGTCATTGACATAACATTCAAGACACAAGAAAACCTTGACTCAAGTTGATTTGAGATGCCAGTTTTGTATCTAAAGCAACAGTTTTACTAATTGCTATGCACTCAGTCAAATGAATATAAGCAAGACTTATAGATTGGGTTGAATTAAAATTAAAAAAATTAAAAAATTTATTAATCAATAAAACTTAAGAACAAGAGATACAAGTACAACAATATTTGCACGACTACTGTCGTGCATATATAGTTTGCGAGTACGACTAAAATGTTATATGTAAATTATTTAAATATTTTTAATTTACCTAAATAGCATTTATCTGCAGACTTTGAAAATTTTATAAGTATGTAAATATAAAAAAAGAGTTATGTTAAGGACCAGTTAAGTACACTTAAAGCAACCGGAAACAAAAGACGCACTTAAAGTTTTAAAGCCACATAAACTATATCTTAAAATAAACTTCAAATTAACGCATATCAATGCCTTCAAGTCAGCCAAATGTAAATTTTATTGTATTTAAATAAAAATTCACGTAATCGTCTTAAAAAATTTTTTTTTACTAATTATAATTATAAATTTATTACACAAAGAAACAGTTGGGAAAAAAACTTAATGTTATATCGACATTTGTTAACCTTGGACTCTAATTTAACCAAATAAACTTTTAACAACAAAAATATTGCAATAAAAAAATGTGCAAAATAGCTTACATAATCAGCTTAAATTATTTATTATTAATACTTAACAAAAACTAAAAACATCACAAATAAAAAAAAGAAAACAAAACACCAAATATCTTTTATAAAATAAACAATCATAAAAATCGAACGAAAACCACAAACGTAATTTACAAAGAAAAGATACCGAGATACCGACGCGACGTCTTAAAACGTGAAAGATCCACAAATTATGAAGTAATCTTTTCTTTTCTCTTTCAATTTAATTTTGTTTACAAGTCGTGAAATATTAACCAGAAAAAATAAATAAATATATATATGTATATATAATAAAACCAAAAAATCAACACTCTCGTGATGGCTCACATAAAATTATTAATTAAATCGAACAAAGAAATCTAATATTTTAAATTATTATATACAATTTTTACGATTATTTAAACATATTATTCAATCTGTCTTAATTTAATATTTTTTCTTTATAAAAATAATTAAAATTTCTTAATAAAAAAATCTTAAGATCCATTTTGCTAAAGATTCAAGTATGAGTCTATCTCGAATGAAAAACGAGACGTATTTAGAATCTGAAAGTGAGACCTTCATACTGAGCCTTGTTTTAGAATTCACAATTTGTTATAGATAATTATATTACCTTACTCTAAATTTATGATATTATATATCATAAATCAGGCTCTATAAATAGACGTCTAATACTTTTTGCCATTCATAGTTGCTAAAAAAATTAAATGCAAATTACGTTTATTACTCTATTTTTGTATAGAGTAACTTATTAAAATGGGCTCATGAAAATAAATGAACTTTCAGATATTACTACTACTATTTTTAGATTTGTTATTAGAAATAGTAATATCAGACCATAAAATATAGAATCAGTCTGTATAAATACTCATGTTAAACTTATTGTAATGCAGTGGTCCTCTAAAAACTACATTAGTCACTCTATTTCTGTCCTAGTTAATTCTAGTAAAATTGTGAAAAATGTTTCTAATAGTTTAAGTTCAAACTTAAAAAACTATATACAGTAAAACATTCATAAGTCGAAATTCTTTAACTCTAATTTTCTATAACCTGAACTAAATAAAGTGCAATAGGGTTTAGAGAGCAAATTACATACAATTACAAAAAAATTCTTTAACTCGAAGTCTCCATAAATCGAACCTTTTGCAAAATGGTACTTCAAATTATAAAAGTTTGACTATATATATATATATATATATATATATACATTTGAAGAATTACTTTCAAACTATTACAGTCAAATGTGTACCAAAGTTTTCTTTATCGTGTGAGAGATACCTCCAAGCATTGCATCTCTATACGCCACTTTAGTGAAATTTCTATTATTCGTCATTAAATCTTTCTCTGTAATATCAAATCACTTTTTTCTGGTGATCCAGATAACGTAACGTCAAGATACATTTCTCATTGTTATGGTAAAGTTCGGTAAAGCGTAGTGACGAAACAACAAAACATATTGTAAAATGGCTTTCAGCTATATTTTAGCAAATTGTTTGTTGCTGTTCAGTGACGTTTCTTAATGTGATTGGACTATATTTCTATAATCAATATAAGTATAAAAATATTGTCTTAATAATGCAGATAACAAACTTTTCACTTTATTCCTTAATTTTCTTTTTCTATTTGCTACTCTCTCTCTTATTCCTTACTTACTTATTCCTTATACCGGCGATCTCTGGGAGATCTACTTAGGCTTATTGGTCCTTGGTATAAGTTATTCTTTACTTAACCGGCATAATAAATATATTGCTAGATATATAACATATAAATGCTTATTTATTATACTATATGTGAAGAAAAAAATCGTCAGTAAACCGGACAATTCGTGGAAAACAATTAACTCACAACACCTACTTTAGACACACTTCTAGGAAGCCACCTATATTTGTTAAAAAAACTGGATAACCCTAGGTACATAAATAGCTCACAAGACCTTGTTGTATTACTTCAGACACGCTTATAGGAGACGCACTGTCCCATATTTGCTACCTATTCTTTGTACACTGATTGTATATAGGGGTAAACAGCATTGCACTTTGATCGTGAAATTCTATTATTCACGATGTCATTACTCTATGGACCTTCCTCTCATTATAAATTATTACTTTAGACGTATTCTTAGGGTGTAGGCACTGTCGCATGTACTCAACCTTAGCTACGCCCATGAGGATTTGTCATTTGGTCGAAAAGAAGGTTAACAAAGACTGTTATGGTTACTGAAAACACTATAAATATATAGAAGCTTATTAAAATACTTTATATAAATTTTTAAGAGATATAATTTAATAATTGTATAAAAATTATTTTAAACTTAAAACCAAAAAAAAAAATTTATATTTTCATTAAAAAAATTAATTTAACAACAATCAAAGTTGGATACTTTGTGACGCATTGCCGACAAAGCGTTGCTTTAGCTCCGCAAGAAAAAAAACTGAAAATTCTCAGCAAAAAATGTTCGTACATGCAAAATATTTAATTGAATTGCCATCAAAAAAGTTAAGAGATAAATTCCAAAAAAATCAAAACTATTTTAAAAATTTATAAAAAGTGAAAATTTTAATTGAAATCGAACGAGAAGGTGAATAAAGTTTACACTTTTTTTTTTGATTTTATTTTTCCATTAACTTTCAATTGTGCTAAAGTAGGTTATCAAGCAACAGTGCGCAGCTTTAGCAGCGCAATGCACTGTAGCACAAGAGTTAACAGCATTAAGTGGCACAGCGAATAAAGTTACTAAAGCTTAACAGAGTTTGGTCTGCAAAAAACAATAACAACACTACTAATAACAACAAAATAGTAGCAACAGCAACACCAACAATTACAGCACCAATAACAAAACGAAAAATGTAAAAGAAATAAAAAAAAGCATCATTACAATAAGAAAAAAAGGAAAAAAAAGAATTGGTAAAAATCACAGTTGAGAAAAAAAGCTACACAGCAACAGGCACGAGTCAAAAGCCTGTTACCCGGGATTTGCGTTTTGTTTTTATTGCTTTTTTATTATTTGTTAACATTTGTTCCACTCCCCATGCAACACTGCTTTTAATGTTATTTTTATTATAAACATTTATTTATTTCTCCTCAACTGAATTTCAATGAAATGTGCACAAGTTGTTATGTCATCGAACCGGTCCGCATATACTCGTAGTACACAATGTACGACTAAATATATGTACATGCCGATATATAATATATATTTATGTTTATAATATTAAACCTGTACCTGTTCGGTATTTGGTTTAATTATTTTATTTATTAATAACAGTTTTGGGTAAATTATATACTATAAAATTTGGTTTTTTGGATGATCTTTAAATATCATTGTTGACATTAAATAAATATTGTGTAGAGCGAATGGTTGCAACCATTAATATAACATGATATTATCTATGTATTTAATATAAATTTTAAACAATAAAAATGCAATAATATATTTAAATATATGTAAATCTTCGGTATATCTTCTACTAATTTCATAAAACCATTTTTTTTATATTTTTCTAAAACAAAATATGTATTATTTTTTATTCTTTTCTTCCAAAATTAAACAATAAAGTTGCTATAATAAATTTAAAAATACATATTTCTTCGGTTTTACTAATTTCATAAAACCATTTTTTTTGTTCATATTTTTCTAAAACAAAATATTTATTATTTTTTACTCTTTTCTTCCAAAATTTAACAATAAAATTGCAATAATAAATTTAAATATACATATTTCTTCGGTTTTACTAAATTCATAAAACCATTTTTTCTTATATTTTTCTAAAACAAAATATATTTTATTTTTTATTATTTTTTTCCAAAATTTAAAAAATACTTTTTTTTATATAAAATATTTATTATTATTATTTTTTTCCAAAATTAAAAACTTGGTTTTCGAAACAAAAACAATAAAATAAAAATTATAACTTTTTTATGAAATTTAAAAATAAAAATAATTTTAGTTAACATTTTTTTAACAGTCATATCGGGGCTTACATTTTTTTATAAAGCTGTTAACTTATTTCTGTTACTTAATAAACATTTGATTAGATAAAAATTTGAATTTTTTATATGACTAAATCAATATAAAAACTTGGTGTGATATTCACTTACGTACGCACGTTTGGCAGGATGCAGCGTTTTTAATTTATGCAGTTTAATTTCTAAGTTGGCAAGCGGCGCCAATTCGCTCAATTTTAATAAATATTAATAATATTTATAATTAATCGCGTTTTAAATTATGCAATTTGGATGTCTGTAAAGATATTTCAATAACTTCCTGACAAGGAGAGAAACTCTTTAATACCAAACTTGAACATAATTTATAATAAAAAATTGCATCCATTAAATATTAATTTATTAACTTAATGAACAATTAATATACCAAACACCTCATGAATAATGTGTAAATAGTGATGTGAATTATTTTTGCAATAGGTTATTTTTTAACAAAGATCATAGTCATCCTAGAGTTTCTTAGAACAACATAATAAGTTTAAATGATAGCTAGAATTCCCGCAATAACTTACAATAATTAAATAAACTTTTTTTATATGGAAGACCTTTAAATTGTCAATAATTACATCTTTTTGTATAAAATCTATTACTCACATTTAAAAACGCAAGCTGCTATCTATGTAGACCATCAGATATATTGCACTAAAATTAGTTTATAAATACTTTTATAGTCTGTTGAGCTTAAATTTATTGACTTCGTGATTTTTTAATTGCTAATATGTCTTTATTGTAATATTTTCTGTATTTCTACTGTTTTCTACTAAAGAACAGTATACTACAGTATTACTGCAATAAATAAAGCAACCTCTCAACATTCCAATAACATTCCTTTAATTAAAGGAACAACTGCAACAAATGGCAAAAGACCGAAAACCAAGTTTTTATAATGTATTTCTTGCTTATAACTTCTAAAAAATATTATTCTGAATACCAGTAACCAATATCTATATTTCATCGTATTTCGGTTTTTACAGAATAAATGTTTTACTTCACGAAAGGTTTCTATAAAAAGTTGTCATATAATTACCGTAAAAAATATTGTACTAGGTCCCAGTACTCATTATCTCTTGTTTGTCAAGTTTCGCTACAAGTACCAGAAGTATTTAAAAACGTTCTTTTTTAAACATATTTCCAAGACCTTAATTTAAAACATTAAAGCTTTCTTCTACATCGTTTACACAGAGCGTTATGTTAATATTTTGAAAGTGCAAAGACATGGTGATGAGAACTACCAAGATAATTGACAAATAGATACATAGGTATTCTTAATCAATGTTAAAACCGGATGTTAAAAATCAATTTAATATAATTATTCTGATATTGCAGTTAAATAATATTAAAGAAATTTGGAGAACTGTTTCACTTACATTATATACCATATATAATCGTTTTAATAGTGCTTGTAGCACAGAATTTCCAAGTTAGGAGTCATAAGTATATATCCGATCTTTTAAAAAGTCAAAAGTAATTAGAAAACTTAAATGATAAATATAAATAATAAATAATAGTTTTTATTTTATATTTTAATTGACCAATTAGCCCGCTCAAACAAATTACTAAAAATTTTATAATGACAATTCATTAATTTCATATCTAAAAATTTAAACTATCAGTCGGTTTTTTTATTGATATCCTCAAATGAGAATAGAATAATTAATAATGGAAGAATGCAGATGTGCACGGAAATTTATTTAATGTACCACTAATATATCTGTCGTTCATATCTTGAATAATAAAATTGTTGAAACTAAACAACTTCAGTGTAAGCTTAATTTTTCACTTTCATATTTGACAAAACACAAAGCAATTTTTAAGTGTATCTTAAATGAATTTTTAATTGTTTTGACAAGACTTCTCATGCTTCCAGCAACAGTTAAAATTCATCAAATCCACAAATGCGCAAAGTAAAAGTTTCAAAATTTCGCAAAATAAAATACATAATAAAATATAAATAAAATGTTACAAGTGCAAGATAAACTAAAATAAATAATATAAAAACCGCAAATTTTAAAACACTAAACTTAAATGACAAAATACTTCTCTTCAGCAACATATTGGGCACATCAAGATTTCAATCACGTCAAATTCGAAAATCGAGAAAACACTCACCAGAAGTGAATACAACGTCAAACGGGCTAAATGTGACTCTAACGGCTTTTCTTAATTATAAATCGTACGTTTCAGTGAAAAAGGCGAAACAATTAACAACTATAAATGGACTAAACGCTATTTCGGAAAAGAAAACAGTTAGAAAGAGCTTTTCAAACGTGCATGTCTAATGTAAATGCTTTAAACATTTTACCTACAAAAATCCAACTGAACTGCAGACCGTCAAAAAAAAAAGAAATATCAAAAACAGCAAAAATTTTAAGTGCAAAACACGCACGTCTTTTGTTTACGACCAATCGATGGGGTCTTCAGAAACGTGTACCGCGGAACTCGCTATTACTCATTCATGAGCTACATGGCTCCAAAACTGATTTCGTTGTTGATTCTTCAATTGTGGCTCATAAAAGCGTAATTTCCATTCACTCGGTGTTTCATTTTTCTTTTTAATTTTGTTTGTTTTTTTTTGTTTTTAACAAATTGTTTTAGTTTTTCGATTTTCCATTTGCTTGAAATCTGAATTTTAATTTTTCCGGTAGTTCAATGACATTTACTTGAGCCGCCTGGCATTTACACCGTTACTCGAGCCACAAACATAAAGCTGCATGCAGTTAAATGCAAGAGCCATTAATGAATTTGTAACAAAAGTTCAACAAACTCGACTTTAAGTGTAAAAAACAAATTATGAACGGTTTCAATATGAAAAACCTCAATTGCTCTTAGCCAGCAGTAATTATGCAAATACATCACAGCAAATACATCACAGTAAAGGCATTTACGAGTGCTGCAATTGCAATTGGGAAACTGCATGCAACTGTGAAGTGAAGGGATTGTGCTCGTCTGCATTAACCGTGAAAGGAGAAATTAGCTTTAAACGTTTTTATTTACTATATAAACATTAACTTGCATAAAATAAATTTCATGAATTAAACATTTCTTCTTTCATTTACAGACATTGACAATGATCCAAACCGTGCTCCACCTTGCGATCCTGCTGTTTGTGTGTTGCCTGATTGTTTCTGCTCAGAAGACGGTACCGCCATACCCGGTGATTTGCCTGCCAAGGATGTGCCTATGATGATTACAATCACTTTCGATGATGCCATCAACAACAACAACATTGAATTGTACAAGGAAATGTTCAAAGGACGCAAAAACCCCAACGGTTGTGACATCAAGGCCACATATTTCATTTCACACAAATACACAAATTACTCTGCCGTGCAAGAGACCGCACGTAAAGGTCATGAAATCGCCGTACATTCCATAACGTAAGTATATAATTTTCTTGAATTTTTCGTTACATACCAAAAATATTTTTTGTTTTCTTTTATTTATTATAAATTTTAAATTTCTGGTTTGAATATTTTTCTTATTTTTTTTCTTATTATTTGATTCCACTTTCAGCCACAATGATGAAGAACGTTTCTGGTCAAATGCCACCGTTGACGATTGGGCCAAGGAAATGGCTGGTATGCGTATTATTATTGAAAAATTCGCTAACATCACCGACAATTCCGTTGTTGGTGTACGTGCTCCCTACTTGCGTGTTGGTGGCAACAATCAATTCACTATGATGGAAGAACAGGCTTTCTTGTATGATTCCACAATTACTGCTCCACTTTCGAATCCACCACTATGGCCTTACACTATGTACTTCCGCATGCCACATCGTTGCCACGGTAATTTGCAAAGCTGTCCAACTCGCTCACATGCTGTTTGGGAAATGGTCATGAATGAATTAGATCGTCGTGAGGATCCAAATAATGATGAATATTTGCCTGGTTGCGCTATGGTTGACTCTTGCTCAAACATCTTAACTGGTGATCAATTCTACAATTTCCTCAACCACAACTTCGATCGTCATTATGATCAAAATCGTGCTCCATTAGGTCTATACTTCCACGCCGCTTGGCTCAAAAATAATCCAGAATTTTTGGATGCCTTCCTTTACTGGATCGATGAAATTTTAGCTAATCACAATGATGTCTACTTCGTTACCATGACACAGGTCATACAATGGATGCAAAATCCACGTACAATCAGTGAAGTTAAGAACTTCGAACCATGGAGAGAGAAGTGCGTTGTTGAAGGCAAACCAGCTTGTTGGGTGCCAAGCACCTGCAAATTGACTTCCAAGGAAGTTCCCGGTGAAACTATCAACTTACAAACCTGCGTGCGATGCCCGAATAACTACCCATGGGTGAATGACCCAACGGGCGATGGTTTCTTCTAAGTCAGCGTATAGCAGTTTTTTATTTCAATTTAGCGTACTACTTATATATTTCCATATATTTTCTGTACTACTCTCACAAATCTGCCTACAACTTCTGGTTTTCAAGCTCATTTTTGTAAATATAAATTTACTCTCAAAATCTACAAAAACAAAACTTATGTATAATCTACTGTGCTGCCAATCACTCAAGTGCCCCTTCATAGTATTTGAGTACTCAATTTATTAATTTTATTTTTTTAATTTTTTAATTATTTTTTTATGTCTCCAAATTCTAATGTTCTAAAACAAAAACAACAAAAAATTAATTTTATTAGTTTTCCCTCAATTATTGAAGACTTTTTGACTGACTTTTGGGTCGAAATATTGGCCAAACATTCGATGTCCATATTTGCCACTCGAAGTCGTTACTGTGTTAATATTTTTTTTATATAATTGAACAAAAAACAAAAAACAAAAAACAAAAATCTTTAAAAAAAATTCTTTTCAAAAAGAAATTGTTTTAATTTGTAGTAATATTATTGTGCGTATATTTAAATATTTTTTATTACATAATTTTAAATGTAAAAGTACTTTAATCGATTATCAATTTATATGATATTATAAAAAATAGAATATATAAATTGTAAAGAAAATAAAAATTTACTTTAAAAACTATGAAATTTGTTTTAATCAAAAACCCCAACTATGTAGTATAAGTGATTGAAATTGCTTACTACTTACTAAAGATTTTTAGTAAGTAGCTCAGTTTACAAACCACTTTATTTATAAATAGTTTATTTGTAATTATTTCGCTCACATTCTTTAAGTCGCAGTCATTCAACTCATTCAAAAGCTATTCGTTTGCTTGCTATTCATATCTCATTCAATTCGTTTTTATTACATATAACGCAACAACACATGATTATGTGTGGTTGAATTGTTAACACAATATCAACATATTCTAATATATTAGTTGACATATATGGGATATTAGTTTTCGTGAATCTAGTTAGGGTTTCAAGACCAAAAACTTAATATTTTACCAGAGTGGTGATATGTGGAGAGCAACCCTTCGGGTTTCAACATCAAAAACTAAATATTTTACCAGATCAAACGTTCGAAATATGCCGATAGGCTTACCGTCAATAACTAACGTCAAAAGATCGTATTCTGTCATAAGAAGAATACAAACATTATCAGTAAATGAATTGGGCCATCATAACCTGAAAGAGGTCACTGTTCATTGAGATATTATTGTTGAATCGAATTGAAGTGACTGAATGTTAATGGTTAAAAAATATAGAATATTATTTCTATAACTATTCTTTGATGAGTTTCTCAATGCCTTTTATATTTAATTTTACTACGATTACTTTTTTTACAGAAATCGTTTACTATAAGCTTCGAGTGAACTATTCAATAACAGAGAATATAATTGTTTTTGTGCTAACATTCATGATACCCCTATTTAATAAAGTAGTTATCTCTTCAATATTTGGGGGGTATGATTTTTATCCTATTATGCCAATCGAATGCCACTATACCTATATAACTTTTTTGATTAACTAAATTTATTAGATCAATTCTTGATTTAATTGCTTCTGAATAAGCAAGTTTTAAGTATAGCTTATATAGTAACTGGAGATTTTTATATATAGTTTATTTGTTATTGTTTAAAATGAATACAATAAAAAATTACAAATTCAGTTTAAATTTATTTCAAAATTTTATAGATATAATAGATCATATGTATGAAGTAATATGCTTAATGAGGATTCTTTATTTAAAGTCATTCCTTCAGTGAGTGCGTGTATTTATTGACAAAAATCATTTAAAGATCATTTAAGAATTTTACACTCACTCCTTCAGTGAGTGGGTGTACTTATTGACAAAAATCAATTAAAGAATTGTCAAAACTGCCAATATACCCTTATAATATTGCTCAATAGAAAAAGTAGGTGGATAAAATTAAATGAAATTAAGATGAATATTTCCCGGTCTCTCTGCACAAGTCTCTAAAGCAATAGATACAAAATACTTGGATATTCATCTGAATCGCAATTCAAATCCGAGTACTTTCATTTTCACCAACTATTAACCTTTGGACATTAATTTAAGCCATTCATTTTAGTTCGCAAAATAAAGGTTCAAATTATTTTAGGACCAACTTATTAATTAAAAGTGTTTTAGTGCTTTAAAGCCCATCTTGGCAATTGGCGGTTAAAAGAAACTGCTGCAAACTAATCCAGCGATTTTAATTCAGAACATATCTCATGTTTGTATCAATATACTACTAATGATTTGTTATATAGAACCTAACAATTAAAATTAAAATTATCAAATCATCCAAATTCACTAGTAGTAACTTATAAACAACTTGTAGAACTGAACTAAGAAATAATACAATATTATAAATCTGCAATATAATAATAAACCTAATTATAAAAATTAAAGAAGTTTTAATATAATCTTGTTCGTCAAAGTGTTAAAGTAGCACTGTGTTTCAGCCATTCGAGTGTACTTGTACTCCAACATTTGGATCGAATATATCAAATGTTCAAAAATGTTCTAGCTGCCCCATGATATTTAAGCTACTCATCTACAACATATGTCTGTATATATATTAATATATATTTCAATATAACAGCTTATCTACAATATACATATATCACTTTTTACTCTTTTGAATGATCCAAGCTTTAAACAACTATCCCACCTCACTTTTAAACACCAATTTGATCCTAATAGTTCTATACCCAACTTATAGTACAGTTTGTAAGAACAAATCTGGTATATTACCGTTCTAGTGGTTTTAACTCACTGATTGGCTCTTTTCCTGATTAGAGCATCATATTCAGTTAGTAAATGTACAGGTAAATTTGAAGCTAGATCACAGAATGGCGAAACTTTATTTCCAGGCAAGTCATGAATTTAGGTCTATATATGTGTATTTTCTCAGTTCACTATGACAAAACTTCTCCGTATATTATAGTTAATAGAGTCAGTAATCTTCTCTAAAAATAATACAAAGAATATTTATTTTTAATTGCAAAATTTTATCTTAGCCATTTAAAGCGTTCAGTTCTATAACCTTGAATAAAAATTGAAGACTGTTATAGATGTGTTATTCATATAATATAGTTGTATTATTTATAGATGTCTGCCTATATTTAATGAACTCATAGCTTTCTTCTTGTTTAGCTTATTAGGTATTACAGTACAGTCCCATTTGATGCCACTGTGATAATCTCGCCAGACTCAGACTTCGGTATTTATCCACTGCCTATCCACTTATAACAGAATTAGGTGACATCTCTTAATGGCGTTCTTAACTGCTACTCGTCTGTGGAACTACAGTGAGTATGTCACAATAATCCTCAAAGGATGTAGTGACGTGGTGACAAGTTCTCAACCCGTTTTAAAATCTAATCTAATCTAAAGTACCATGAATTTCAATATATCCTGGTTCCCAATTAATGTAAAAAACTACATTATTATTTAATCAGTCTTCTAAAATAATTCTCTTAATGAAAACACCATCTAAATCAAGTTAGAGTAAATCGAATTGGAAAAATTTTAAATATCTTTATGGATTCTCATACTGGTAAATACTCATGCCATAAGCGTAACCAAATTTAACTAATAAATATTTAAATTTGTTCAAAGATTTTATTTTATTTCTTTAAACTGCAATCAGCTTAAAATACATACTAAATACATATTAAAAAATGGTATTAAAATCAAAATGAAACCGAAATGAAGTGTAAAACCTACTGACTTACTAACTAGTTTCTATAGTGAAGTTGCTCTTTTTAATTTTTTTTTTGTTTTTTTAATTTATTTCAATATTTATTGATAACATTAAAAATGTAAATTTTTACGATTATTATTTTTATTTTAAGTTTTGATTCAAGTCGAAAATAAAAACTGGTTCTTCTATTTCATCTTTTTGTATTTTATTAATTGAAGAAAAATGCGGACCCTAACTGGATTCGCCACCCAAATTACGTACGCATCTTGAGCCGCGGTTTCGGCCCGGTCGTCCAACTGCTTTATTGGCTGTTTATTTATCGCTTCTGTAACAGGGGCGATTGTTCGTTTGGCTTATTTTTGGCGATAATGGCAAATAAGTAAAAACTCAAATTAAACAAACAAATGCTCAAATTAAAAAAATTAGCTTATTTTGTATTCAGTTAATGCCAAATTGTTGCTAATTTGTTAACAAATATTTTAGGAAATCAAAAGTAAATGCAGAAAACGTGTTCCTCACCACAAAACACGATTTCGTTTGGCACCATTTTTTCTTTTTTTCTCGTTTCACTGTTAAAAAACTTTTATGTTCACTTTGGACACCTTTTTTCTTGACGCTTCTTACCTGAAGATGACTTATTTATATAATATTAGTTTAAAAGTAATCATATGAATCCATATATAAATGTTTATTTTATAATATTTATTTAAAACAAATTTTTTTAGGTTTAATTTAATCCGGGTTTGAAAATGTTAAATGTTATTATATTTAAGTGAGATTTAAAGTGAGAGAAAGATGAAAAAAGAGAGTAAGACGGATACAGAGCGAGAGAGAGAGAGAGAGAACGAGAGAGGGAGATACAAATGTATTTACTGATAACTAAAAATTAAATATATTGATAATAAAGAAGTTTTTCGAACAGTAGTGAACTACAACAACAAAAATTTTTATTTTTTATATTATTTTAATTAATTGAATTTTTGGCTGACCATACAGCTGTTTCGAATATTGCCAAATACCCATCATCAGTGGTCTTGGGAATAATTCTTGTATTTAATTATTTGTAAATAATTATTTTTTGAGACAGCAAGTACCAGGTATCGAACTCTGGTCCTGCCAAATGTGATATTGAAAATATGTAACCTTCCATTACTGATGACATAATAATCAAACACATAAAAAAGCAACGTTTAAACTGGGTAGGACACGTTCTGCGGATGCCAAAAAAAAGAGCAGTAACGAGAATCTTCGAGAGTGAAGTCAGAACAACAAGAAAAAAAGAAGACCGAAAAAGAGATGGAGTGACAGTGCTCGATAAGATCTGACAAATATTGATGTTATCAATTGCAAGATAAAAGTCAAAAATAGAGAACAATGGAGGTAAACGAAGATTAGGCATGGATGATGATTTGTTAGCTTATTCACACGGCACGTCGAGGTGATATTTGAATTTTTAAAGTCTTATTTGTGTTGTGTCACAAAAAAAGGTTGCAAAACTCTGTCATAAGTGGTCGGTTTGACCTTTTTTATTATATAACCGAGAGACCCGTTCCTTTCATATTACCGATACTGGTAATAATTTAGTTAATTATTATATGATACCAGTGACTTAACTTATTTGAAAATGAATGGCCTAAAGACTAATATTAAACTGAATATTGTAGTTATTGTTCAATAATATACACATTAAGACTACCCGTATTTTAAAAAAATTGATCAGTTCTATATCTAGATCAGTGCTCTTAAATATCGTACCATATAATAATTTAATTATTTTTAGGTAGAAACTAAAATATAACTACATCCCTTTAGTCCCACTGAATTTGCGGCTACCCTAGTATTAATATCTTCAATCCAAATAAAAGACAAACGGAATTTTTTAAAGTATTGCATATACTTCAGTATATCC